TCACCTTTTGATAACCACAAAAGGTTACTGCATTCCTTAATCGCACAACCCAGCCTAGCAGGAGCCTGACTTTCAGGAGTGCTGTTGCAATCTGTCAGAGAACAGTTGTGGTACTGCTTCGCAATATCTATTCTTCTTTTTGCTATTTCTACTATTTCTACTTCCACATGCTAGGTTCTCCAGAGATCACTAGTCTTCTTGTTACAATCTTCTAAGCAGCTGTTACCCACAATGAAAAATTAAACTATCTAAATGTCTACAAATAAACTATCCTGGCTTAAGATAAAGCTGCGCCTCACAGTGGCTTTACCTCTCTGATACCACAGGTCTGCACTGAATCAAGCTTCTTGGGAAGTGCTGGCGAGAGATTCTCCCTCCTCCTATGAAGTTCTGGGCTGAGTTACTGCTCTCTTTACAGCCTTTAGGTATGCCCCTTCTCTGCAAATACACTGAGGAGGGGATGAAGGCAGCATCAGAGAGAAAGAAAGAATTTAAGATGCCTAAAGCTTGCAGCAGTGGCCATGAATAAACATAATGGGAAAATTTGGAAAAGATACATGATCATCAGACATCAAGTGTTAGACAAGCTATTAACAAGAATAGCTGGAAAATTGCCCTTCAACTTTGAAAATGAGTGCTGACTTCAAGAAGAGAGGATTTGATGCAGTTGCTTGTGACACTGCTGTAGGTAGACTGTATGTAAGTGAAACCACAAGATCCACTTTTTCTCTAAATTATCATGCTCTCTTACTGAACCTACTCAATTGTGTCTCAGAGATCCAACTGTGTTAGCTGAAAAGAGTGGGATGGCTCCTGTTTTGGATACTTGCAAAGACTGACAGATTGCTCTGTGGGCAGTTACATGCTCAAAATATGAATAAAAGCTGAATACACATTTGTTTTGTAACTAAATGTTGCATGCTGTCCATTGAAACCAATTTAAGAAGAACTCTTCCTGTATTATATGAAACAGGACATTATATGCATTGCTTTTCAAAAGAGCAAAATAAGTTACATTAAAAACACATTCACTTGTCTTTTGTGTGAATTCTAGAGTTTATGAATCCCTCTTATGGCCTTATAAATACATTCATATTATTCTCTGGTATTCAAAATAAGACTATCTCTGTCCATTTTTCCTTTAGAAATCAACTCTTTAAATGGCATCAGCAAAATACACATCTTACTCATGGAAAGCAGAAAAAGTTTTTAAATCTAGTTTGACATCTTAGTTATTGCTTTTAACTTGAACCATAAAACAATCTATAGGTGCTACAAAAATCTAATAGAAAGAACTCTTTGTTTTAATATGAGTTACAGAACGATGTAAGAAATCACCCCAAAGCTTTACCTAAATAAATTTCAGCTTTTCACAGTGAACTATAACACCATATATTTTCATTTGTGGTTTCTGGATTGTGGAAGATATTGAATTAGGCATCAAACCTTCACATTGCTCTTTCAGAGTTTGGTGGGTATGTGCTGGACCGAACAGCCAGGAATAATCATGCTGTTCCCTTCGGCGTAGTCTTAAAAAGATTCTGAAAGCGTTGGGGGAAATTTATCTAAGAAAATACGAAGCAGTCTCAGAATGCCCAAACGTGTAGGCTTAGTCATAAAAAAGGACTGCAGCTTGTGCAGACACTTAAATTAACTTTAATTTAGATAAGTAAGGGATCAATAGCAATAAAGCCAATATTGGGATGGATTTCAAAACTGGCTAGTTACTTGGTGAAGAACCTGACATCACAATGTGGCCCAAGCAGCCTGAAGCTTATGTGAGACTTCAACTTCCCTGCTGTTTTCTGAACCAGCTACCTCACAACATCGAGCTGTACCTCCACATGCTGCATGCAGCTTTGGTATAGATGTACCTCGGTACATGAAGCAGAGAACATGAATGCCATCACTCAGAAAATACTGGAAATAGCCTTCAACCAGCAGAATGGTGAAATCTAGCACTTATTTAGTTTGGCCCTCTCAAACACTGACACAACGGACAGACACAATGCTTGGACTGCTTAAGATCTAGTACTACTAAAAATATCAAGATAATAGGTACTTCAAATCTAGTCCTATATAGTAGAGCTCAGACTCTTGACATTGATATTGCCACATTTGGTGATGTTGCTGACTGGCAATTGTGCTCCTCCAGGTCAATCCCAAGCATAGAGAACCGGCTGCACAATGAGGTGGCCATCACCACTTCTGCTCCCCACTGTGACCTCAGGATGCCTGCAAGAACTTTCAAGCTCAAGGAGGTCGTTATCCAGGTATAGCTGAAGTGAGTTTAAACAAAGCCATGCTGCTACACCCTGCATGGACACAGCTTGGAGCACTCCCAGCACTCCTCCCCGATGCAGGCAGCTTTCCATCCAGTGGGCAGTTTGGGCTGGCTCAGGAGGCACCCAGGCACACTGCCACTATGCAGCTGACATGGGACAGCACATCTGCTTCTGTGGCATACAGCAAGTGGCTTCCTGATGTACCTCAGCCCTGCTGTGCTCAAGTCAGGGGAAGGTGAACCTTTCAGCCTTTGCAGGAGCAACCCAGTACTGGTCACTGAGGCACAGGGCTCTCCTGGGTTCTCTCTGTAATCAGCTGGGATCAACATGCCTCTGCTGCTCCCCAACAGAATGGGAGGCAATGTGCTCACAGTCCTTCCAACAGGGGTGATGGTCACACCACATTTGTGATAATCTGCCTGCAATGGTTTCCAGAACAGACATAGTGGCAAAGGTTAAAAAAAACCAAAAAAATGTTTTTTAACTGCATGAGTCTATGCATTAGCACTTAGCCTGTGTAAGAATGTGTTTAAAAGAAAACGTGACGTTATTAAACCAGTGGAGGTAGAAGACTTGAGGTGCTTCAAAATGCTTTCCATGGTAAGACGAATTGATACTGTACTATCAGACACTTTGTTCTTTCTGTTTGGCTGCCAACCTAATGGCTGAGCTATTACAGTATCACTGTTTTTATGTTAAAGCCTCAAATGCACTCAAACCTAATTTAAAATCCACCTTTTGCTCTGAAGCAAAAACCACATCAGCAGTGAAAATGAGGCTGACTGCATCCAAATCTGCACTTACAAAATTAAAGGCAGGATTTTTTTAGCAGAGGATACTCGGTCGTCAGATTTACTACCACCAGAGATCACACCCTACTGCAAATCATCACAAATGACTTTTCTCTCTAATGAGAAATGCACCCCATATGCTGGGCTGCATCAGAAGGAGCATGACCAGAAGGTAAAGGGAGGTGACTCTTCCCCTCTACTCTGCCCTTGCGAGACCCCACCTTGGAGTACTGCATTCAGCTCTGGTGCCCTGAAAATAAGAAGGATGTTGACCTTTTGGAGAGAGTCTGGAGGAGGGCCACAAAGATGATCAGAGGGCTGGAGCACCTCTCCTGTGGAGACAGGCTGAGATAGTTCAGGTTGTTCAGCCTGGAGAATAGAAGGCTCTGGGGAGACCGTAGAGCAGCTTCCAGTGCCTAAAAGGGGCCTACAAGAAATCTGGAGAGGGACTTTTTACAAGGGCATGTAGTGACAGAACTAGGGGCAATGGCTTTAAACTGAGAGAGGGTAGATTTAGATTAGATATTAGGAAAAAATTCTTTACTGTGAGGGTGGTGAGACACTGGCACATGTTGCTCAGAGAAGCTGTGGATGCCCCATCCCTGGCAGTGTTCAAGGCCAGGCTGGACAGGGCTTTGAGCAAGCTGGTCTAGTGGAAGGTGTTCCTGCCCATGGCAGGGGAGTTGGAACTAGATGACCTTTAAGGTCCCTTCCAACCCAAACCAGTCTATGATTCTATGAAAAAAAAAAAGAAAGAAAAAAGATAGTTGCGATGAGCCAGGGTTGCATTTTTTTAATGTCACCACTTTTTGTGGTATATGAATTAAAAGGAGGTGTATCTCTTCACTGGAGACAGTGCATTTCTAGATATATCAAAGAATAAGCAGATATTGCTTAGCGTCTCAAAGCCTTGTCTGCAGAGGCACTGTACATACATGCAGTTAGTAAGAGATAGAAGTCCTGGCCCTAGAGAGCTTCCAGTCAAAACAGATGAAAGGATGGGGAAAAAAGAAGTAATATTATCCTCTTTTTTATGTATCATAGAATCATAGAATATATATATATGTGTGTGTGTGCGTGTGTGTGTGTGCATATATATGGGTATGTGTATGAAAGCTAGAAACCGAGAAAATAGGTCATTTGCCCAAGACTGGAAGGAAAGCTTGTAAATATGAATTCAAACTTAATACTTCTCACGTCTCAGTCTGGTGTCACAAACCCATTATTTCCCCCCAAACAGCATACTAAGGAAATACCGTCAGTAACAAAGCAAACTGCAGACCAGAAGGATCATAAATAAAATCTGACATAGAAATGAACAATTCCAATTTTTGAAAACTTTCTTTTGTGTCAAAATTGAATAACTGGTTGTTTTCACAGAAGCTGGCAAATATATGCCTCTTGTAAAAAAAAGACGTTATGTAACAAAACCTATTTTTATTTATAATTATCTACCATAATATAGTGATCCCTGTGTTGCCCACAATCAAAATACTCTGACAGCTGAAATGTGAGGTCAAAACACAGCAGAGGAGCTCCCTCCTGGATATAAGGGAAAAGGACAAAAGGAGTGTATTTAGGGATGATGAAGGAAAAAAGAATTGAACTTCTACCTGAGAGCTACTTGTAGATGAATTTTTGTTGCATATTTTATACTTTTCTCCTTCAGTATCAGACAGAACTGACTGTATTGCAGTTGGAAAAGAAATAGCTGTACTTCAAGACTCTCCCCTTTCCCACAATATCTGTATTCCTCCTGCATTTATATTTGATGAAGTCTTCTTAAAAGCAAAACAAATTCTTTAAAAAAACACAACTGTGGTGGCAAAGACATAAATCTCTCACATTGTTCCTTGAGCCTTTCTCTTTAGGATTATTATAAATTAGATTATTATAGAAAGTCAGATTTAAATATCTTATATACCTGAACAGCATCATAATACATTTTCTTGCCTTCTTCATCTGTCTTGTCCGTCATCAGCCATGCCTTGAGCAAATATTCATAAAAGCTATCCCCAAGCCCTCCAACGGAGACATGATCTACAAAGGAAGAGATTGAACAGCAATTTCATCTTCAGTCTGGGCAATAAAACACAGTTTGAGACAGTGCATTTAATGATCTCTTCCTACAACAATGTTTAATAAATGTAAGCCTGGAACCTCAGGAAAAACTTAGCTGGTATATACAGAGAATTATTTCTTTAAATGAGAACTACTTTGTCAAGTTAAAGCACCAGAGTTGTTTAATATCCAGAATGTGCCACAGGAGTTCCTGGCAAAGAAACAAGAATTTGTATGTTTAACATCAAATTCACGTAGCCTATCCCATACAAAAATGTATTAATCCAAGTTCTTTTGTATTCTAAAACCAGGAAAAAAAGTAGAAAGAGCTCTCTAATTTGATAAAGGCTTTCCCCTCTTATCATTCAGGCATTGTTTTTATTTGCTCTCTCATTCACTAATGCTCCATTTAAGTCACTTCACAAAAAAAGGATGAAATGTTTTAGCTCATTACTGCAGAGTTGAATTTCAGGTTACTTAATGGTATTTCAAAATGCCAACCCATATGTTTAAAAATAATGCTACATTTTTTAACCTCTGGCTGCTCTCAGAACTCAGCAGTGGTTTTGGAAGCAAAAAAGACAACTTTGCCACATCTACAGAAGATACTGCTATCACAGTATTCTGCCCTTCGCTTACTATGTGAAATGATCTGGTACTATTCATGCTGTCATTATTCAACTGCACATGTTTAGGACACAACCATGCAAACGCTAACATCACATAAGTTGGACCATTTGGTATGAGTTGCACCAGTGATGTGGAAGTTAGTGATGATCTTAGCTGCTTGCACAAGGTTGCATTCCCTTGCTGTCTAGAAGCCTAAAAGATTCTTGGCAAAAATTTATGGGCTATCACAGTCTCAGTGTAGATCCCCATAACACAGTAAATTCTACAACTATATGTATATATAGACACACATATATATATTTTTATAAAGTGTTTCTCTAAGCTCCATTAAACTAAGAACACTAGCTAGAGGTTTTCTTTTTTTAAGTTATCGCTGCCTGGTAACATTAAGGCATTTGGCATTTATTGAATCTTCAGTGAAAGGATTTCAAAGTGCTTTTCCAGGACTACTCATTTATAACCATCAATTTTACACTAGGGGAAGGGGTCAACTAATTCTGCCCAAGATATCCAGGATGGTGATGTGGGTTAGATATATAATGCAACAAGTTCATGAGTCCATACCACAAAATTCTGGGCATGACAAAAGCAAGACACGCATGAGGTAATCCAGGCTCATAAAGCAAGATGCAGAAGGGTTAGTGGTACAGAGCTCACACTTCCCAACACCTAACTCTGACCTTAGTTTCAAAGTTATGGCTCTGTTGGTGGAATTCAACAGAATCCAAAGAATTTATTTTTAAACTTAGTATCTTCTTTCTTGGAACGCCTCCTTTCATCTTCTGAAAAGGTTGCAAAGCCATGCAAATGTGTAAGATAGACTTTTATTCCATTCAAACTTTTTTAACCTTTTTTTTCTCCAGTAGCCTGTGACATACAAGAATAATTTAGTTCTGCAAACATATCCTGTCCCTTTGCCTAACAAATACATTGTAGGATCAAACACTCTACCCCATTTTGAATGAGATATATTAAATTTCTGGAAAGAATACACCATTTATTTAATTAAATGTTCATGATCCAAAAGGAAAAGAGGCTTCTTAAAAAAAATTAGAACATTTTCTATGATCAAAGGCTGATCTCTGAACAGCAGCATTTAAATGACCTTTACGATTTCCTAAATAAATTACCATAGAAACCTCTGACATTTGCAAACTAAATAGCACAAGCACAGTTTCATCAATAATAAGCCCTGTTATTATATACATTATTGCAGCAGACAAATCCAATTGACGCATGCTGCAGCAAATCACTGTCAGTTTACTGTCAAAATAACAAGGGCTAAATGAATTTACAGGAACAATGGCAGTGATCCAGCAGTGTCCTTCACAGTTACAGCACTGCTAGAGAAGAAATGTTCAGAAACTATTCCTCCCTCCCCACTTGATGTTTGAGATAATACTTCTCTCTTGTACAAGTGAAGATTCTACGTTGTTGTTTGTTTTTTTTTCCCTGTTATAATCAACTTAAAACAGCCTAGAAAAACAATCTCAAATAAAACATCTTTAATCTTACATTCTGGTCTTCTACTACAAGAAAAAAATTGATAAAATAGTATCAACTGAATTGGAAAGGATGCAACAAGATCAAATTTGCTTTTGGTGCTTCAGTATGCTAGGCAGTGACCTGCAGCAACATCTGTGTCCACCATCTACATGTGCAGGAAGCTCTTCCTTTGTCAATACTTTATGCTATTGGAAAGCACAGCTGGTATAAACAGAGTTTTCCTATGCACACCATCAAAAACTGTCATTTAATGTGAACAAGGAGTACACAAGGCACAATTATACTAGTAGGGAACTGGCAAAGGCCATAAGGCTACTTGACGGCTTTAAAATAAATAAGGCAGAGCCACTAACAGTGTTAGCCACTAGAAAGATCTGTTCTCATGCAGGTTACTAAAAACACTGAGCTTTTCTGAGTGACTGAACCCAAAGAAGGAGGTAACTGGACCTGGCTCACAGATGCTGAGGTGGCCATCTAATCAAACCCGGTGCCTGTTGTTACAGGATCAGCACTTCCAGTGGGAGGTTTTAATGTATTACAAAGCTGTGCTAAACCAACAGGGGTAACAGCGGGCACACATCTCTCAGGTCTGTAAACAGATGTCAGAGTTTATACCAACATGCCAACCTTCTGGCATGGTGACCTGAAGGACACCTCACAGCACAGCAGAGCAGACTAGAAGGCTTTCTAAAATGATGGGCATACTTCTAATTCATAAAAGGAAATGGCCTTTGCCTTGATGGGATAATACAGGTGAGCAGCACAATGTTCTTGCACATCTTTTTAATTCAGAGTGTGACACAAAGCATTCAAAAATATATTTTTTTAAATAAAACACTTGTTCTTTGCCTTTGTGAAAATTATCTTACCTATCAAGACTGTGGCCACTCCCATAAGGACTCCAGAATCTCACTTCCACAGTAGCTACATCCTAAACAAACCATTATATTCTAAAACTTCTCCGGTCCTCTCCCTGTCTTGTATTGTCTAACCAGTGCCAACATTGATGATCTACAGGACCATCTCATCTACTTGTGTCTTTTCAGACCAAGACAGTATATCTTGCTTGTTTTCTTTTAATAATGTAGGGATGAAAAAATACAAGAACATTGACTCACATGACCTGGATGGTGGTAGACTGAACCTAAGCAGGGAAAGTGAAAAAAAAGTAGGGTCTCTAGAATCAGGACCCTGCACATTATGTAGGCTTTGAACGTGTTATGAAGATCGGAGAAGGCAATGTACAAGAAGAAAAGGGTTGGTCATCAGGAAGCGGCTAAGAACTTCAAATACTTCAAGCATTTTATTATACTCTCTCCCTTCTAATTCTGGTGTCTCCAGTAATAGTTCCAAGGGGATTAATGCCATGACACAATTCTGTTTCATTTGCTTCCTCAGTTGTTGGCACTAAACTTCAACAGAAATCGCAGCTAGTAGTAACTGGAAAGACTTGTTTTATTCTACTATTTTTATCTTCAGTGGAGCCACACCACTCTAAAAATATGGAATCTGATTCAGACAAGCTGATAATGTTGCCTTAAACAGCTACTTTGGAGAGCACTTTAGATTTTTGAATACTTTTGTAGCTACAAATTCCTTTCCAAAATGATACATATTCAGATACTTCTCCCTCTTGCAGAAGCCATATAATAAACTATCAATAAAAGTACATTAAAATACAGCAAGTAGCATGATTATTCTTATAATTTTTTTTTTTACATTGTACAGAACCTCAGACATAATGTAGGTTTTTATACTTTAAAAAAGTTCTTTATAAATATATATATAAAAAACATACATAACAATGACTAAAGAAGTTAACGACTGCAAATACCATACCAACAGACAGGTGATAGTAACAAAGAAGTGGTCTACTTACGTTGGCCCCATTGGCCACTGCTGGGATTCAGATAGTTGGGGTACAGGCCCTCTGGTTTATCCAGTCGATTTAGAACTTTTCGGATATTCATTACCTATTGGAAGGGTACAAACCACTGAGCACTGATCCATTTTCCTGACACCCCAAATAAAACAATGTAGCTACAAAGTCTAAAAGTACATATATGCTCAAAAATAAAAAAATAGTCTTATTTAACTCATATACCTGAATACCTCTGTTCAATCATATTGCTATTAGAAAAGATCCTCTAAGCTGATAGAATCACAGAAAGAAGCTACTCAAAACCTCTGGAGGGTCTTCATCAAGTATCAATAATGAAACCACACCACAGAAGCAAGCTCTAAAGTTCAGGATTTGCCATACAGAGTATCTCACCCCTCCACAGGATACTGAAATTCACGGAGGCTAGTTGCCTTAACCAAGCTACTTCAGCACTCCAGCATTATATTCTTCACATCAGAAATGGTATTAAATATTAAGCCTGTCACCTAGTTCAGATGCAGAAGTGAGCTGCAAAGCAGTTTTGCCTGGAAAGGAGAGCACTACTGCAACTGAGCTTCATACAACCAGCTTGCCCAGCAGGAACCCATGCAGCCCTGAACGCTCCGCCGACTCTGCTAAGGAGCTAGCAACAAATGAGAGGCCCGGGGAAACAATTACAGTGCAGATGCTTTACAGCTGGAGTCATCCAGCAGCACAATCCATTGCAGAACACATGAAATAATTTATACTGAATTATAACATTCACAGAAAAAGCGAATGTAGCACCTTGGGAGAATGAAGATCCTGAGCACCACAGATCAGAATCTGCAACAAAAAGGTACTGACAGCTTCACTATAACACCGTGAATGCCTACAGATCAAGTAACATGCTGCTGAAAAAGAAGATAAATTAGCTTTTTTAGGATTTGTCTGTGGTACACAAACTGCCTTCTGCATCTTGACACTATGCTGCTAATAGTCATTGCCCAAAGGCAGACTGCAACAAGACCTAGACATCATTTAATGAATTCTTCTATGAATCCTTCAATGCAAAGCTTATTCCACTGTTTGTTTCTTCTTCTTTATTGAGCAAACCTTGATAAGGTTGCCTTGGGAGGGCTGTGGAATCACAATCTCTAAAGGGCTTTAAAAGCAGCTTACTTAAATAGATTTCCAGTGTCTTGCAGCTATAGCTCAATGCCACTTTGGAAGAGAACCATAGGCTAGGATTTTTGACATATACGCTTTCATCACACTTTAATTGTCTCTTAGTAGAACAAATGTTACACATTAAATTACCATAATGCCAAAAGATAATTAAGTTATCTAGCAAGTTTGTTTCTGGTTGTTCCTTGGAGCTGCAACCTACCCATCCCTCCCCCCAGCTCAGCTCAGATTTGTTTAAGAGAAACTCTGTCTTCGAATTCACCCTAAATACATTAACATTCCTAGGAGTTTGATTCACAAGACAGATTTCAGTGATGACAATGGTACTGCAGCAAAGTCATTCAGTCCCTTAAGTTTGGAATAACTGGTATTCATTTTAGATTTGACCACTGCTTTTAAACCTATGGCTAAACATTTGGAGCCTCATTATTGATTAGATCATTAAATAGGTAATACCAGTTTTAGCTAACATGGGGCAGTTGCAGTAAGAATACAAAAGCAAAACAAGTGGAAGTTTTAATTAGGGAGAAAAAAAAAAAGAAGATAAATGGTACAGTGTATTATAAAGAATAGGACTCACTGACTATTCACACACCAAAAAGCAAAGCAGAATTGCCTAGGCGGGAACTGAGGGAAGGAGGAGCTGCTTTCCATTACTCTTATAATTAAAAAGTATCTAGAAGACAGCATTCTCAAATTTTGGAAGAATTGGTAAGCACGACATCAGTTTTGTCAACGGATGTTAGGATTTTTTTCCTTCCCCCCAGGAAAGTTCAAAGGCCAGTGCACTGGAAGGGCTTTCTGACCTCACTGACATGAGTGATACTATACAGCACTTTGAAGACTAAACTTGCTGAAATCACACGAGGTGGCTGTGGTGCTTTGCTTTCTACAGGCATCACATATTGTCCCAATTATAATGTAAATTTTTGTTCTCACTGCATTCAGGTGAAGTACTGAAGAAAGATCTACAGTGTGATTGTTTAATGTGATACTAATTTAGAACATAAACAGAAATTACATGTTTTATGGGGCCAGGTAAGTGCTATATACAAGAAGATGCATCACAATGATTTTGGAACCAGATTTTTCATACAAAAACACACCAAAGTGATTAGGGAAAACGTGACAAATGCTTACAGCTGAGGAAAATCCTAATCTCTCCCTAGATATATTAGTCTCCCTACATGTGATTTATCTTTTACAGCATGATTTTGACTGAACAGTCTAACCTTTTCAGCAAAGACAGGGTTTCCAGACAGGTAGCTCAAGTGTACGAACTCCAGATGCAAAGTCCCAAATTCTGCCAAAATGCTGCTGCCGCCAGAGGCCCATGGCCAATTTCGACCGATTCCACTAAGATGGGGGGAAAAGAAATACAGAAAATAAGCATGAGCATCTATAAGACAATGCTAATAAAATATAATGGGTAGGAGATATACTGTTATCAAGACAAGGTAACGAATGTAAAATGTACTTAATATCTGTGTTAGAAACCGTGCTTCAGCAGCCTTCCATGACTTCCATGACCACTTCTGTCCAGTTCTGCTTAGGCTTGTAAAATTGCTTCAACAAGCCAGTCTTTTAGCCCACGAATAGCTCCATTACACATATCATTGTACCAGTGTTTCACAATATTACATTCAAAGACATTACAAAAACCATAGAGTATGAGAAAACATTCTCATACTTCACCCGTTTCCCCTGTATTTAGCACAACACTCCTCAACTTTAACTTGTTCTAATAATTCTACAGTGCAATTATTTATTAAATTGAAATACAACATATATAAAGCACAAGCTTTACATTAAAGTACTACATGCAGTATATTCATCTTCATACCTGAGAAATTAATAGAGTAGGATGTGTAGGCACTGTCTGTCAGGGCACTCTTACCAGGTTTTAATTAAGACCTAAAGATACTTCACAGCAAAAATAATCTCAGGTTTTGTGCTGAGAGTAAAGAATAGCACATTTATTGCTAAATCCCCACTAGAAACTAATCCTGCTTAAGATTCAGCATGAAAAGTCTGCTAAAGTTTCATTACAGAAAAGTGGTGGTTTTTTCCCTTGAAATTTCCAGCAGCAATATTCAGAAACCATCCTGAAATTAGAGAAAAGCTAACAAACTTTCTGTAGCATCTAGGTGAATAATGACATATTAGACCAGCATATTATTAACATTGACATTAGATATAAATACACTTATTAGGTATTGGAATGCCTTCCTTACTTTCAAGTTGTAAACAGCATTAAACACACACACACACATACTTAAATATAAATAAAAATCTAATTTTACTTTCACACATAAACAGCCACTAAGTCATCAATCAGCACTTGCACAACCATGAAAATCAGGTATTCTTCCCTGAGTTAAAATGTAACTCGTTTCATGAAAAACAAAGAGAAGGAAACCCCAAGAAATCCCATCTTCAGTTCATGATGATGAAAGTCCTCAGTTGTATTCAACCTTCTTCTTCAAAAGTTCAAGTATTTATAGCTGAAGTTTAACTAGTATAATGAAAGACTCCATTAAATTAATTTCCCCACTAGCTATATTAACACATTATTTTGAGATTTCTGCCACACACACAAAATACAAGCAAGTCATTAAACTTTAAAAGCTGAGTAAAGGGTACAAATAAAGAGCATATTTGTATTCTACTTAAATGTCAAGGCTCTAAACTGTGCAACACCTTTGGCTGCCTGGCCTTGTGTTGATGGGACTGCTGGAACTCACTAATGTGCCACCAAAAATAAAGCCAGAATATTATCTACTGATAGGTGGACTTACATTGTCCCATTTTTGAAGTTCCATAGCATCTGTCAAATACTCCCCACAGGTATGTTGTAAATTTTCCCAGACCATAAAGCACTGTATTTACTATCTTATCTGAGTCCTGAGTGGAGGGAGAACTTGGCAGAACACAAGGCAAAGAGATCAGATGAGGCTCCCCTGGCTGACCATAAAGGTGCAAGAGGCTGGGACACATGGATGTCCACTGATGCAAATGATTACACAAAATTCCAAAGGAGAAAAATGTTTCTAATCTTCATAGCTGCAGACAAAATCAATGAAATTAGGGTACTGCAAAGGTGCACACAATCTAATTTTGTTATGGTATTTGTATGACAGAAACAGAACACAAGTTTTATGGGAACTAAATATCTCATTTTAAGAACAATCTTACAAAGAGAGTGCTTTTTACATTTGATGAACCTGGCTTACAAGTTCTTCATACCTCTGTCTACTGTGGGCCAGAATTTTCCAAAGGTTGCCATAAAAGCATCAGATATTACAGAGAATAAGATCAAGGTGAGTACTGCAGACAACATATCTGGAAACCTCTTATGTACAGACTGAAGAGCTTACACCTACAGACTGGTTATCACCCAACAACAGGCACAACTTCTGGGACACACTTGCCCAAGTTCTGCCAAACTGCTGACTTCCAGGTGAAAATACTTTAGCTTGTTTCCAAATCACCCAGATTACAACAGATGATAAAAGACACTACCAGTAAATAAAGCTCACCATAAAAAAAACGAAAAAAAGGAAATATTTCAAGGTTTTGAAAAGTTACCATGTTGTGGTACAACTGGCAAAAGCCAGCTTTTTTTCTTATTAAATTTCTCAGTAAATCTCAAAGTGAAAAAATTGAGCTGTTTCTGCAGCAAGACATTAACCAGACTTCGCAGAAAACATAACAAAGTTCCTTCTTGCACTCCACCACAATGTCTGCTGATATCAACACAACCTGTCAGAACATTTTGATGTACTTCATTGTTAACTAGAAAAATTTCCAAGCATGGCTATTGAGAGGTGTTCTGAAAACAGCAGTGTGTTTTACCATGAGTGGAAGATTCTTCTTGCTTAAAATGGTTTGAAAAATATAAACTTGAATTCTTTATTCTTAATGCCAGAAAAGTAGAAAAGAACCATCTATATGGCATCTGTGTATTATTTAATGTAGCTTTTATTGTTTTCAGTTGGGACAGCTAGTTAAAAAAAAAATAGCATCAACATATTTCTGAACTATCTGCAAGATAATGAGCATTTCTGTTCGTTTAGTCTCAGATGGACGATCTAAGTCAAAACTGACAAGTTCATTTCAACAAGTGGTAGAACCCACGAGTTGTGATTCAGTGCCTTCACTATTTTTCATGTAACCTTCAGCTGTGGATGTCTGATAGTCTCACATATATTTCATCTTTGAGAGAAATGAAATAAGTAAGTTCTCTGTATTCCCTTATACTAACTTGAGCAGCCACTGTGTTCTTTCTCCTTCCATTTAACTCTGTCCTTAAAAGCAATAATCCAGTATGTACAGCTATGCAGACAGCCAGCTCCTGAAGAGACATTACTAGAGTGTGGGAGATACTCGACAAAGTTCTCATCATTCAGAATGAGAAAGATTTCATATTTTCTGATCCTTTTTGACCAGGGAAGGTAGACTGGCTTTTGTCTTGGCTTAAAGAAATGGAAACTGAAGAGGGCGCTCTTTTTCCACCCCACCCCTCAAAATATTTTCCTAAATATTGTATAAACAGAACAGACCTTAAGCAAGAGAGAACCTGAACAGATGAAGGGATATGGTGAAATGGAAAAAGACTTCTGTGTCAAGGATTATAAGTGAGCAGATGTATAAATGACATGAGGTGCCCTAGAAAATAACATGCAATAAATAAGTGTAATAGCTCAGTAAATCTTAACAAGGCATAGTAAAATTCTGATTTCTGCCCATGCATGAGACAATACATCCAGTGCTCCCACCTCAGACATTTTTTCAAGCTTCTCACCAATATTGTTATCAGGGTGACCAAAAATTTCTCCAAAGTTAAAAAAGTCAATGCTAGGTACCTCTTTATTCTTCAGCCATAAAGCCAATGTTGGGCGTTTATTTACTCTTCAGTTACAAAGTTATGGGCTGTGTTCCTCAAGTCTTGAGATGCAAGCCTGGGGCTCTGGTGAAAGGTTTTATTTCTACTCCAAGTTTCAGCAAAACTATTTATAACACTGCAATATTTAATGCAAAGTCTAATAGTCAGTATCCTTTTGGAGACTGAGCCAGTAAAAAAGGTGAAAGAAAGGTGAAAGGCCAGAATAAAAACATCAACAGCAAATAGCATCAACAACGTGAAGTGTCCAAGAGCCGCTGTTGTAAAATTTTTTAGAATTAAATATTAAAATAACACCCTATAACCCCTTTGGACTTGACTAATGCTGATCTTATTTGCAAAAAAGTTACTATGACAGTGGGTGAAAATGCTGGGGAAATGCTGGGGAAATGCAAATGCAGTGCTAATCCAGCAAGGATATTCACAGAAATTAATCTCTTCAGCACTCCCCTCATAATCAGCACAGGCTGATATTTATAACAAAGAGTAGGACTGGAGATAAACACTTTGTAATGTTATATTTTTAATTCATCAATTCTAAAATCAGGTTTTTTCCTAGTTCACAATTTATTTCCAATGGTCTTTTATTACATGACATTTTTATAAAATATTGCAAGATAAACTTTGACAGATTAAACTACAAAAATAAATACAGAAAACCTTCCTGCAGTACTGTGACATGAGAAGGGTACCTCAAAGTCCATGAAGCTCCGATACTCAGCCAGGCAAAGTGTTGTGGTTTAAGTCCAGCTGAACCCAGGACACAAAGACATACGGACGGTGCCACATATTGTGAATTAGTAAAATAAACAACTTGACAGAATGCATTATGTCAAAAATTTCTCTCATAGATGTAATACATGTCAAATTATTATTATTTTCTCTACAATAATTCAATTCAGTGAGAAAAATCCCCAGGGGCACATTCCATTTTGGCAGAATATTTCTATGAATGACTTTTTGTTTTTCTAAACAAATGTCTTCCTCTTATAAAAAGCCAGTGTAACTACCTAATGGCCAGTCACCGCATTTGTAATAAACACTTATACCTTGTAAAAGCCTTCAGTCTATTTCTTTTCTGCCACTACCAGTCTTTCATAGTAATATTTTTATTTAATTAAGTCAACTAAGTCTCCGTAGAACAAACAAAGAGAGGTCAGTAAAGGGTCAGGTTTTCATTTACATACTCGGTATCTATTTCTCATTTTAAACAAAATAAATTTAAAACATTAAGTTGCTGAAGAGACATAGTTGGTACAAAATACGTCAAAATGCCAAATAAAACTTAATTGCTTTCAGCATTTTCGAAGCAAATGAATGAACTCAAACCCAAAAAATTATGTTCTAAATATACGTTGTGACACACACCCAAACATAAAATTAAGCAAATAATGGGAAAAATAGTTCATGGATACCGTGGTTGCATACTGTGATTCCCCAGCTATGGGTGTTT